CGGGAGTAGAAAGCCTCATCTTTCTCCCGCGGAGCGGCTGGTAGTTTCGAACCGCTGACCTTAAGGTTCGCAGCCCAATTCGTAGCCACTACGCAAGGTGGCTCCTAGAAAACTTTAAATTACACATAATGGCAGGCATTGTATTGCGATTACTGGTCTAGATCTAAGTTCAAATCCTGGCTTCTCCAGTCAGCTGTTTTGTTGTTGTTGTTAAGTACCATGGAGTCAGTTCCGATTCATAGTGACCCTGCACAGGGTTTCCAAGGCTGCAAATCTTCACGGGAACAGAAAGCCTCCTCTTTCTCCCATGGAACAGCTGGTAGTTTCGAACTGCTGACCTTGAGGTTAGCAGCATGATTCATAACCACTACGCTATCAGAGCTGCTAATCAGCTTGTTATACTTGAGCAATGTATGTAGTCTCTTTGAATCTCAGTTTCTTTGTCTGTAAAGTGGGGGTAACAATACCTTCCTGGCAGAATTATAATTGGGTTTTATATGGCACATAGTAAGTGTCCAATAAATGGTAACCCGTATAAAAACAAAACTTGTCAGTTAAGATGATTCCAAGTCCTGGTGATCCCATGTGTGACAGAGCAGAGCTGTGTCCATATGGTTTTCAGTGGTGGATTTTTTTTTTAAAGTATGTTGCCAGGCCTTTCTTCTGAAGCATTTGGGGGTGAACTTAATTTGGGGGTGCCTTTCATTTAGCAGCCGAGCACATTAACCATATACCCCACCCAGAAAAGCCAATCAATGGTAGCTGCTACTTAATATTTCAGTGACGAGCCCCAATTTCAAAAGCGCCCTATAGGTCCTTACGTAGCTTCTTAGGACTATGCAGGAGTTAACTCCAGTGCCTCCTTGAGAAGGTTGAGCGATGGTGGCCAGTGAGCATGGAATGGCCAGCCTTGGATAGTGTCCAGCCAGGCAGTAGCCCAGGTACCAGCTGGCTCCATCCCTGGCTAGCCCAGCCCTGGGTAGATCTGAGCCAAACTCTCTCCCCTTGGGTCTCTGTGGTCAGTTCTGGGAAGAGAGGCTGCTGGCCAGAGGGCGAATCTGGCTTAGGGTCTGACTGTGGGGGTGTTAAAGAAGCAGCCCCCACTTTCGCCTATAGCTCTCCCATGGTTCCCACCCTGCTGGACCCCAGAAAGGGCCTTGTCCCTGAGATGCCAGAAGTACACTTGCAAGGTGGGCAAACAGAGGGGTCTCCCGGCAGAGGGGTCTCCCCTCACTCCTCCACCTACTGCCACGCAGTCAATTCTAACTGACTTTTACCCCATAGACCTGCTCCTTAGGGCTTCCGAGCCTCGTCTGGCTCCTTCAGAGCAGCTGGTGGGTTTAAACCACCTACCTTGCGATGAGTCGCTTCCATCTCATAGTGACCCTATACAGGGTTTCCAAGACTAAATCTTTATGGGCGCCAACCTTGTGGTTGGCAGCCAGACACCTAGCCGACAGCACCTTCAGGGCTCCCCCACCCCGACAATTTCAGGGCTCCTTTACATAAACAAGAGCCCTCTCTGGGCTATAAGAAGGACAACCTTGGGGTGGGGTGGTCTCCCTAACTCCTCCCAGAGCTGACTGGGATTTCCAAGGCCCTCAGAACCAGCCTGGCGGTTTCTATAGGGCCTATCACCATGGCATCAGCTGGGAGGGGCTAAGCTGGCAGGGTGGTAGCCCCCGGCACCTGCAACCCTCCCCCAGGAGCAAGGCCCAACCCTGGGCCTGCTCCCCAGAGACGGTCACTGGGATTAGGGTATCAACTTTCCCCAGCTTTCCAGGTGGCTGCTGAGGGTACCTATTGAATTCCGTGCCCGGGCGTCCACTCCCAGGCTGCGTGGGTGGAGGTGACAGGGCGGCCATTTGGGCTGGGGCTGGGCTTCCTAGCGGAAAGGGGGAATGGAGGAGCAGCAGCCATGGCAGATCTAAGAACCTGAGTTGGAAAAGGGTAGGGGGCGCGGCTCGTCTGCAAATTCCGCCACCCTGCTCGGTGCCTCCCTCTCCCCCGGAGTCTCCGCCAGCTTCTCACTGAGCAGACCCTGCTGTGTATTTCTGGGCATCCCACTCCAGGTTCTGGTGCTGGCACAAAGCCCCTTCTAGGCTCCTGGATTCACTCAGCCAGTCCCTGTCCAGCAGGTGGGGGTGAGGGTCCGACCACACCCCCCACCCCACCCCCAGGTCCCCAGGGAGGCTGTCCGGGCCTCCACCCAGGCTGGGATGGGCCCTGGATGGCTGACTCAGCAGCTGGCAGGGACAGCTCCTAGAGACAGTTGTGTGGCTTCTGTTGAGAGAGGGACTTCGGCACATGACCTGTCCCCTCCTCACATGCAGGGAGGATGCAGCTAGACAGGTGTCTGAATGTTTCAGAAACTACTGGGGCTTCCCACCAGACAGGTGATCCCAGAGGCAGTGGAGTCAGCGGTGGGGATGGGGGTGCAGCAGAAGCCTGACCCCAAGTTCGCTCACCCTCAGGGCCAGGTGCTGACAGAGGGAAGTGGGCTCAAGGCAAGAATTGTGACACATAGACCATTAGGTGTAGGGTTTCGGACCAGAGCCAAGCTCCCAGCAGCCGTAAAGAAGGCCCAACACAGAAACTTGTGTCTGCAGGTGGGCACCATAAGACAGCTCCCCCAGCCCAGGTGCATTCTGGGCCACCCCACCCATCCCGTTCAGCCCCTCAGCTCAGCTCCACTCTCCACACAGGCCTGGCTGCAAGAGGCCCTAAACACCCGGAAGGAAGGCTGCGGTTTAGTCTGTCAGCTCCAAGTCACCTCCCTGCAGAGCTCTGTCCCGGACTCCTGCAGGGGAGTGGGGGCTCAGCTTAGAATGGCCCAGCGCCCCTCAGGGCCAGCTCTCTGAGATGAAAGGAGCACAGGGTTTGACCCAGAGACCTGGGCTGGAGTTCTGGTACCTCCACTGTGGAGTAGTAGGCAGTGGGCTTACTGTTTCAGACAAGAGAGGTAACCACATGCCTTCTGAGCTGCCATGGAGGGAGAGGCAGGAACGTCAGGGCTCTCCCCTTCTGTCCTTGGTCCTGGGAGTCACCCTCCCCACTTTCCCAGGGTGACTTGGGTGGATTTCTGAGCTCAGTGTAGCTGGGACAGAAGGCTGAACTTGTCCCTGCGGTGGCAACTGGTCAGACCTGTTCCTGCTCACCTTGGCGGCCTGGGGGAGGGCTGGGCCTCCAGCTTTGTGGAGGGATTAGCTAGAGGGGAGAAGAGCTTGGTTTATTCCTGGAACAAAATCCCTGGAGGGCCAGCAGGCTTGAGAAGGTCAGGGAGGGCCCAGGGAGAAGAGGATACTGGGTTGCTCTGCTTTCTGGGTTCCTGAACAGCCCTTGCGAAGACAGTGGCGTGATCCCCCACTGTGTTCTTCTCCACTTGTTTGTCTTTGGTGTTGGGGGTGAGGATCCCCTACTTTGTACCCTGGTGAAATGTTACTCCTGCCTCCTCGGTGTCGCAGTGTCCCCGCACCCCCTCCAACATCCTGAACACAGACTAGAAAGACCCTTCCAAGCTTTTGAAGGAAGGAGAAGTCATGCAGGGACCTAGCCCCCAGAGAGAGCCGCAGGGTGGGGAGCGGAGTGTGCTGGGGAAGTGGTGCCTCCCAGTGCTGATGGAGCTGCCTCCTGGAGCAGGCAGGTTAGGACAGGAGGCCAACAAACCCTCCTTCCCCACCCTCCCCTGCCTTCTCCACTCCCAGCCTGGGATTTGAGTTCAGCATCCTCCCCTCCCCCATAAAGAAGCTTAAGTCTCAGCTTAATGGGACTCTTCCTTAGAATGAACTGACAAAGTTCAGGCTGCGCGTGACCACAGGGCACTCCTACCCACGGCAGTTACATCACAGCAGTCCTGGGAGGTAGACAGGGCATCAGGAATGAGAAGGAAATGACCTGCCCCAGGTCACAGAGCTTATGGGGGGACAGAGCTGGACACAGGTCTGTGCCCAGGCCTGGGAAGAGGGGTGCAAGGGACCTCAGAGTCCTTGAGTCCTTGGTCAGGTGTCAGTTAGTTGGCCCGCTTAGATCCCTAACTCTCCATCATTGAATGAGTCTGAGGTCTGCAGCAGTCAGGTGAACCCAAGACGCTGTAACCCATTTGCAGTGAGGGTCTGAATGCTCAAAAGAAGTGGCCAGGAACCCCTTTACTACCTGCTGGTGGCAGGGCCTGCTTTCCCAGCTTTCCCAGTCCTCCTTGGGGACCAACGGCTTCGGGTATTGTTTCCACCCTAGGCTGTTGCCCTGGTCCCAGCCAGAATTCCTTACTGTGCCGCCGACCAGGCCCCTGGTTTTCTGGAGCTTTCTACCTCACCTGCAGAAGGAACTAGTGTGGGCCAGCAAAGGCTGTACTGTAAACACGCTGACCAGCTTTCAGTAAACAACCTGCCCTGCCTCCCCCGCTGCCGAGAACAGGGTGCAGAGAGCTGGGTGTCTTCAGTCACATGCCCAAGGTAGCCAGCAGGCTGGCAGGGGTGACCTCTTCCAGGAGAGCTAAGGGGTCAATCAAAATAATCTGATAAATCTGAGATTATCAACAGGGGAAGGAAGGGGCTTGAGAACAAACCTTGTCTTACCCTTCCTCATCCCAACGAGCAAACTGAGGATCTATAGCGGCCGTGTCCAGCCCTGTGGTCTGTGTGATTTTGCTGCAAGCAAGTCTTAACGTCCCAGCCCAGCATCCTCTTGTATCGCTGTGAAGGATCTTAGCAAGCTTGCATTAGTCCTAAACCTCACCTCCTTGGTGGGGGGTGGGTGTGGTCAGCATAGGGCCGGGCAGCTGGAACATGGACATCACGCTCTTGATCCCCCACCCCACCTCCACAGCATGAGCTGCGACCTCGGCTCTGTGCCATGAAGAAGGGCCCCAGCGGTTACGGCTTCAACCTACACAGTGACAAGTCCAAGCCTGGCCAGTTCATCCGGGCAGTGGACCCAGACTCACCGGCCGAGGCCTCAGGACTCCGGGCCCAGGACCGAATCGTGGAGGTAATACATCCTCACCCTCTTCCTCGGGCTTTTCCCAGGCTCCTCCTTCCCCATACACCATCACACCACAAACTCCTGGATTAACCCCTGAGACCTCAGAAAACAAAACCATACCTGCTGCCAATCTAGTCAATTCCAATCCATAGCAACCCCATAGGACAAAGAAGAACTGTCCCTCAGGGTTTCCAAGGCTGTAAATTCTTTACGAGTCTTGGTGTGACACTGTGGGATAAAACATTGGACTACTTGGTCAGTTTGAACCACAAGGTCGGCGATTCAAACTCACCAACCACTTCTTGGAAACCCTATACAGGGTCGCTATGAATCGGAACTAACTTGATGGCACTTAACAATAACAGATCTTTACGGGAGCAGACAGTCTGTCTCATAAAGAGACTTCTCCCTTGAAGCAGTTGGTGGGTTTACAATGCCGGCCTTGAGGTTAACAGCCCAGTGCCTAATCCACAGTGCCATGGGGCCCAACCTGCCCATAAATGCTGCATGGGTGGACAAATGGACAGACAGATGGCAAGGAGGGAGGATGAGTGGGTGGTGGAAGGAAGGGAAGGATGAATAGGTGGGTGGATGACTGGCAAAGAAGGAGGAAGGATGGATGGCTGGGAGAAGGATAGATGAGTCAATGGATGGACGGGAGGGAGGGAGAGAGAGACGTAGATGGTGGTAGGTGGATGGATAGATAGAGGGACAGATAGCGACTTCTTTCCTGCCCCACTCTCCCTTGGCTTCCTCTCTGTTCAGCCCATCGTCAATCCAAGTAGACGTCCGGGGCCACCCCCGGGGTTCCCATGCTACCAGTGGCTTCCAGGCTAGGCACAGGCGCTGGAAGGAGGGTGATCAGATTCTTCTCCTGAGCCAGACACTCAAGCACATTCACTGTGTATGCTTGTACTGTGGTCCACGGGAGGCAAGGACTTGGGCAGGCCCCAGAATCACAGAGTCTCAGAACCTTAGAGCTGGAAGATCAGCTCATCCAAGACGTCTCGTTTTACACATGAGAAAACAAGGAGAGGCGAGTCAGACAGTGAGTCCACGGAGTGGCCGGGACCCAGCCTGGCCTCCCTGTCCCTCCCAGCTGTGTTTGTGTAGTGTCATCTGGATATTTTCTTTAGCCTTTCCCATGTGTCCATCTCCCCCATCTGACCATCAACTGGGAGGACCCCTGGACCTGGCTCAGGACTGTGGACAAGTGTCCCCAGCTGGCATGCTGGCTGAGGACCAAGAAGACCCCTTGTCACCTCCATCCACTTGCCTTTCCAAGAGCTGCAGCCTGTGACCGCAGTCCCCTTTCTCCCCACAGGTCAATGGGATCTGCATGGAGGACAAGCAGCATGGGGATGTGGTGTCTGCCATCAAGGCCGGTGGGGATGAGACCAAGCTGCTGGTGGTGGACAGGGAAACAGACGAGTTCTTCAAAAAATGCCGAGTGACCCCGTCTCAGGAGCACCTGGATGGTGAGTAGGGGCGGGGAAGCGGATCCCTCCAGGGCTGGAGACCCCCAAGTTAACGTTCAAGACTTTGGCTGTCTTGTGTGTGGGGGAGGCTGTTCTGACAGCTTCCTGACTCTGGCATGGCCTTCTAGGGAAGTATGGGGTGGGGAGAGCCGGACCTACTATAGGGAAACAGGATTAGCCGCAGGGTGGTGGGGTCAGCTGGCTTGAAGTGGGGTAGTGAGGGATACTCAGCTTTCTGGGCCTAACCCCTTAACGCCTCCACTGCCAGTTTTGTCAAGGCAGTGCCAGCTCACAAAGGGTTAAGTTAGCGGCAGTCTCCCAGCCTTTTTACTCTGCCAGACCAGAGTCCAGTGACAGGGGCCCAGTGCCTGCCCCCTCCCCTCTCTCAGGTTGTCTTGGAAACTGCAAATCTGCTGGCTCTGGAGAGTGATGGGCCCCCTATGCGCCCTGGGCCCCTGGCTTCCCCCTCCCCCACACTCCCCATGCCAAGCCTGGCACCTCCCCCTGCTCCAGCCTGCTGCCAAATGGGGCTGGGCTGCCCCACCAAGGCAGGGAGGGGTTAAGCGGCCCTCGGCTCCCTGGTCTGGACTTTCTCCCTAGGAAGATGGCTCCCTGGATGGGTCATTCTAGGGTGGAGCCTCTTTGGACTTTGCGATGGGTGGGGCCTCCCTGAGCTGTCAGGGTTATGTTTGTAGGTGGGCGGTCTATGCACAGGGTCCGCCAAGCACACACATAACACACTCAGGCCCCAGCTGGCGGGACCCAATAGGGAAAACCTGCCCACAGTTGGTCCAGTAGGGGCTTCTAGGAAGGGAACCATCACTGGATATCCAGAGCAGACTCTGCAGATGAGAGGGACCAGTGCTTTACCTTTGTCTCAACTCAGGCTCCTGGGAACCAGATAAGTCGGGGAATCTCCCTCCTAGGTACGGGGGATATTTGTTCTTGGGGACCTGGTACAGTGATGACAGCTGAAATTTGGAGTCCACTCAGCTCTTCCCCCTCCCTCCTTTGCCCCCAAGTAATTGCCCTGGACAATCCTCTGCCTTCCGTCTGGCTGACTGGCGGGTCGGAAAGGCCCTGAGACCACAGCCTGGAAGCCTCTAGCCAGAGGCCCCCGCAGAGAGAGAGGCCAGGAAAGCATCCCTCTAGGGCAGTTCCAGGACAATCCTCCCTACTCTTCCCAACAGGTTATAACTGGGGGTGTCGCTATAGAGAGGGATGCTCCCCCCAGAGGCTGCCAGGGCTGAGGCTTAACCCCATCACTCTGGAAAAGAGTCTGGAGCTAACAGAAAGCCTGGGCTGAGGGGCGGGGAGTATTACTATGTCTCAGCCAAGAAAAGGGGAGCCAGGTATGTCAGACTGTGCCCATGAAAGGGGCCAGAGACACAGTCGTTTTAAAGCTAAACAAACAACAACAAAAAAACAGTCGCACTGCCACTGAGTTGTTTTTGACTCCTAATGACTCCTTACAGGACAGAGGAGAACTGCCCCTTTGGGTTTCTGAGACTGTAAATCTTTACGGGAGCAGCCAGCCACCTCTTTCTCCCTCAGCTGGTGGGTTTGAACCTCCGACCTTCCGGTTAGCAGCCCGATGCTGAAACCACTGCACCACCAGAGCTCTTGGTTAAGGTTAAGAGTTCAGAAAAATCCACTTACACAGATCCAGAAGTGGAACAAGCAGCCCCCAAGCCCCCTTGTCATGTGGGGTCTCCTCCCTAGTGAGCCCATGAGGCTAACTGACCCCAGACCTGTCATCTCTCTGTCTGACCCCTGCCACCAAATCCGACCCCACTTTTGTGGGGCGGGGACACCCAGAATACTGCCTTGAGCCTTCTTGCCCTGTACCCAAGTCACAGATAGCAGCTGTGAGTCTCCTGTTTTAGCTGAGCCCCAGTCAGGTATGGCGGGCAGGAGAGAAAGAGGAAGACCCCCAATAAGATGGATTGACCCAGTGGTAGCAGCATTGGCAATGACTGTGAGGTTGGCGCAGGACTGGGCAGTGTTTCCTTTTGTTGTGCATGGGGTCTTTATGAGTCAGTACTGACACGGTGGCACCTAATAACAACAACCATACCCACCTGGGAAGCTTTTGAAAAATGTTGGTTCCTAGTGCTTACGAGTCAGGCTGCCAACCACAAGGTCATCAGTTCGAAACTACCAGCAGTTCCGCGGGAGAAAGATGAGGCTTTCTGCTCCCGTAAAGGTTTACAGCCTTGGAAACCCTGTACAGGGTCGCTATGGGTCGGAACCGACTCCACGGCACATAACAACAACAGCAACAGGCCTTCCCTAGCCCAGTGAATCAGTGTCAGATGGCATGGTCTGGGGATTTGTATTTTCCCAGGGTATTCAGATTGGTTCACTTTCCAGTAGAGGTTTAGGAGGCAAACACCAAGCAGCTTCAAAGAGTTCGTGAAAAATTCCATTATCTCTTCATTCCATTTTCCACGACCTTTTGAAGCCCTCTTTGTTTTTTTGTGTGTGTGGTGGTGTGTTTTTTTTTTGGTTTGTTAATGAAATGGAATAGAAAGTATAAAGGAGCATTGCATTGTAGTAAGCGTTAGCATTGTTTTGTGAAACGTCTAATACACTAGAATAAGTGCTGTTGAGTGGGTTCTGACTCACAGCGACCCTGTATAGGGTTTCCAAGGGGCGGCTGGTTGAGTGAACCACCAACTTTGAGGTTAGCAGTCCAGTGCTTATCCTACAGCGCTACACACACACAATCTTGGTGTATTTTTGGGTCATAGTGTCAAAGTATAAACTATTTCTTCTGTGAATTTCCATCAGAATTGTTGATTTACAGACAATCACTCTTCCTTTACCCAGGTCCCTTGCCTGAGCCCTTTACCAATGGGGAACTACAGAAGGTAAAGACAGCATTGATGCTCTGGGGGTCCTTGGTCCTGGGGGTGAGAAGAGGGTGAGATGAGATGTGGCTGGGGCAGGTTGGAACTTCAGGGTCCCCAGCTCCTATGGAGCAGACCCTTCCAGCAGACCCCAAAGGCCTCTGCTTAGGGCCCAGACAGTCAGGAGAGGGAGCCCGCCATCCTGGGTAACAAACCCCCGCCTCCAGCTCCCCATGGAACAGAAAAGAGCATTCTTCCCGCAAGAACAGAACCTCAGTGTCTGGCGGGCATGCTGCGGGTCCTGAGACTTCAGGCTAGGCACCCCCCCACCCCGCCCCTCGAAGAAGAGAGGAGAAGGCAGTGGAGACTGAAGCCTGAAGTCTCCAGGAAGGACTGAGTGCCCAGCTGATGGCCTGATGACCAGAGAAAGCCTTTGCTCTGGCCTGTGTGAAGGGTCCCTCCCAGGGGCGATTTCACCGAGAAAGGCTCTGTTCCCGACTCCCTCAAGGCCAGTCTTGGCTGCTTTGGGGTTTAAGTTTTGAGGTTCCTGGCATCCAGGAAAACATTGGGGGATGGACTAGAGATTCAGGGAGTATCACGTGTCCCCATGCCACGCAGAGAAGCTCCCAGTGTGCCCACTCTTCAAGGACCCCCTCCTGGTCTCTGTCCTTTCTTAAAAGGCTTGTCAGTGCTGGAAGCTGGGCTGGGAAGGACCGAGGGGAGGGGCCAGCGGCTCTGATCCTATGAGGAATGTGACCACACAAATCCCCCCAGCAGCTCTGGCAGTGAGGGGCTAACCATGGGTGGGATCCCCAGCCCATTTCCCCCCAACCCCACCCTCTTCTCTGTGTCAGGAGAACAGTCAAGAAGTGGTGGTGGGGGCAGCCTCGGAGAGCCCCAAGCCCACCCTGGCAAGATCCACCTCCAGCGACACCAGTGAGGAGGTAGGCTGACCAGGGCTGGGGGTGGCCCGTCTTCCTGGCACACCAACCTGCCTTTGCAGTCACATGCCATGCCACGTTCTGTCCTTGTGACCTGGCTTCCTTGGGCAATGCCCCAGGGCAGCCCTCCCAGCCTATGGGGCTGACCCCCTCCTCTCCGCCTCCCCCTTGCTCTTGGCAGCTGAATTCCCAGGACATCCCCAGGAAACAAGACTCCACGGCGCCCTCCTCTGCCTCCTCCTCCTCAGACCCGATGCTGGACTTCAACATCTCCCTGGCTGTGGCCAAGGAGAGGGCACGCCAGAAACGCAGCAGCAAGCAGGCCCCACAGATGGACTGGAGCAAGAAAAACGAACTCTTCAGCAACCTCTGAACACTTTCGGCCAGCTGCCATCCCTGGCCTGTCTCCCTTTCCTCCTCCCTACCCCCCATGAATCGACACACAAATCGGCACCAGCATGTCCTTTCTTGGCGCACCTGATTTTTCTCGAGACCAGCATTCTTCCCTTTCCCTCAGGGGAGGCGGATGGGTTTCTGTCCTGCCCCAATCAGCAAGCAGACTCTGCCCTCTCCATCCCACCAGTGACCCTGTGACCCCTTACCTGGGGCCACCTCTGGGACCTGCACCAAGCCCGGGACCATGGGGGCCAGGGGAAAGGTGGGTTTCCTTCACAGCCCCATGGTGATGGATCCGAGACCTATCCTGGACTGATCACACAAGCATCCCCAGCTCCTGGAGACTGGGTACCCGACTTAGGCATCTGACTTTTGTTCATTTGATGATTTTTTTAAAGAGTGCAGTACCAGAGTCTAGAGGGATTTCTGTCCCTTGATTCCCGTGATTTTCCCTGGTTGTTGCAGTTAGGGGTACAGCAATGACCTCAGCCTTCAACTATTGTTTCTGCTCCCACCCCGCCCCCTTAGACCCAGGCCAGCACCATTGTAAGGAAAACTCCAGCAGAAATTCAACTGGTTCCTCCAAACCGTGTCAGCCTCCGTGTCTTCCTTCAGATAAAGCTTTGTAGGTGGGAAGTGAGGCATGTTTCCTGGGTGGCCTATAGCTAAGATGGTGGGTGTGGCTAGAGAGGGAGGACTGCCCAGGGAGCTGGGAATGTACCCACCACGTGCTGGCTCAGCAGGTAGTCACGTAGGAGCTCCAGGAACCGACCTGCCTTGTCCTGCCCCACCCTTCCCCGTGGACATGTCCAACACATGCCCGTTGCAGGTGCAGGTGGGGGCTGCACTGCCGCAAGGGGGTTTATCCAGTTCTGCAGAGTGGGAGCAGAGACCCCAGCATGAAGGCTCTGGGGACTGCCACTTCAGGTCCTGGAGTGCTGGGGGGTGGGTCCCAGGATGGAGTCAGATTAGGAATGCAGGGACCTGGCTTTCATCCTGCCCGCAGCCTGTGGGGTGCAAGACTCCCAGGAGCATCTGAGTCAGCAGCCAGATACACTATCTTATCTCACCACTGACTTGATTGGAAGGTAATCGCCCAGAGTTTAGGGAAAACAAACCAGGCTCTGCCAAGCCCCAGAACATAGTGTATAGAGCAAGGTGGGGGACTTCCCAAGGGCAAAATGCTTTGTCCTGCCACAAAAGCCCCAGAGGGTGACCAGCTTGGGCCCAGGTGGCTTGTACCTCTAGTCCCTGGAGCCTTGCCAGGATGGCCTGACAGAAGTGAGGCTCAGGCCCACAGGTTCAAGAACAGGTGCTCAGAGAAGGAAGCGAAGCTGGCTTTGGGCAACAATACCCAGCCAAGAGGAGACCTCTCAGAAACCAGCTTCCTGGGACTGAGCGGGGACAAGTGAAGATGGGGAATGAGGGGACCACCGAAGAGCTTTAGCTTGAAAGCCCTGAACCTACCTGCCCATCTCAGTTCCTTAGTATTGGATTCCACTAACATGAAAAGAAAGGCGTTCGGGTAACGCAGTGTTTACAAATCGGGCTGCAAACCTCGAAACTACCAGCTGTTGCGCGGGAGAAAGATGCGGCTTTCTGCTCCCATAAAGATTTACAGCCTCGGACACCCTATACAGGGTCGCTATGAGTCAGAACCGACTCCACAGCACATAACCACCAACAACATGAAAAGAAAGTTTCCAAAGTCCTTACCATGGTACCTATCACCTGTGTCCTTTGCTGCCTCTGTCCAGTCGGCCCCCACCCTCCACCCCTGCCTCTAACTCAGGTGAAGCAGGTCTAAGGATGGCCCTACCGGAGGAGGCCCTTCCCTTCCTCACCTACCACGGCTCTGGGGGACCTATTGACTGACAGCTGAGAGAGGGAGAGGGACACATGGCTTGGGACTCCTGTGGCTAAGGGACACCGTAGAGGTGACCAAGGCCATGGGGGCTGTGGGCTTACACTTGGGCACAACTGACCTGACCGTCTGCTGCTGCTCACCTGTGCACTTTATCACCTGTGAGGTCAGCTGAGATGCCAGGAGCTAGCAGCTTGGGAGCAGTTCCGGCTCTGTACTTCTTTATCTGGAACTAATTCCCCACCTTATAAACACCCCACTGGTTGCCATCAAGTTGATTCTGATCAATGGCAGCCGTGTGTGTGCAGAGCAGGGTTTTCAAAACTGTGATCTCCCCAGAAACCACTGAGTTCAAACTGCCAGCATTTCAGTCAAGCACGGAACTTGTTTCCACCAGCCAGGGACTCTGCAGAAGGCACTATGTGTCCTCGAAGGGGTCCCTTCCACGACTGGGTTCTGAGAACATGCCTGCTCTTTCTTGATGCCACAACAAACTGTCCCCGTGGGAGTAGATTAATAGCTGGGGAGACTGCCCAGTTTTCACCTCAAGCCAGGCCGGCAGCCTGGCCTTCCTGAGTCTGTGCCTCCACTGCCCCCTTGTGGCCTTGTCAGGTGCAGCTGGTCTGGGAGCAGGAGGCCCAGGCAGTGGGCAGCAGGACCTTCCGGCTTGGGACTTTGCCCAGTGGCCTCCACTTCCTGCATCCCTAGCTACTGAGCGGGAGACTGAGTGCTTTGCCACTAGAGAACTGTCCCCCAGTCCCAAGAATGATCATCCTTGACACTCAAAATGGTTTGGCTCTGAAGAGAGGGAGCCAAGACCACTCACTCCCCTTGCCCCCTTTGTGAGCAGCTTGCCTGTCTGCCCTTCCAGTGGGCAGTCCCTCACTTCCACATCACCCTGGGCCCACACCCCACCTGCTTCTGCCCCAGCCCAGTCCTCTACCTTGTCTCTTGGGGCCGCCCGCACAGGTGGAATGAAGAAACCAGAGGCCTGTTTGCTGTAAGCTTTACTCCTGCCAGAGCCTCGCCCTGGATCTTTCAGGAGACAGGAAGGTCTTGTCTGTCCCCCTGTCCATTCTCCGGGAACCACTGCCCATCACTCTGGCTCCCACCCCAACGCCAACTCCTGTGGCTTTGTGCTCCACTCCAGGTCCATAATCTGAATCCAAGCCTGGACAGGAGGGGACACATCACCAGCTTAGGCGAGGCAAAGGCCAAGTCCAGAGTCAAGGGGTCTGGGAGCTGAGGGTTCTTCCTATCCTGGGGGGATGAGGGAGTGCCGGTAGCACTGGCCCTGAGACCCTGTCTCTTGTGGCAGGGCTCTGGTCTTTGGAGCGTATAGTCCCGACACCCGTGGGGCCCAGTGGTCAGTGAGGCTCTGCTGACCGGGCTCGGTATGGCTTCTCTACCACGTGGCTGGTCTGCTGTACTAGCCACTGCTGCTCTGACTCGTTCATGGTCAACCTGAGCGTCACCTCCTGGAAGACACTGCTCACCGCCACCTACGGGAGCCAGGAGAGAGGGGCCATGAAGTTACAACCACACATTCCAGCCCACCCAGGACACCCAGGCTTCTCCCCGTCCCCGCTCTGCCCCAGTCACATCCTTACCTGCTCAAAGTGGAGTTTGTGGAACAGATGGATGCTTGGTTCATTTCCTTGCCCGATTTTAGCCTCAAACTTGGTCAGTCCTAGCCTGGTCACTCCTCAAGGAGACCAGAGAGAGGGGTGAGCCTAGCACTGCAGCTCAGCCCGGTCCCCCAACCAAACACTGCTTTCTGGCCCAGTTAGTAATGGAGACACCTGTCACCTGGCCCCCTTACAACATGCCCCAGCCCACACTGGGCCACTGTCCCCACAAGTTGTCTTATATCTTATACTTTCTTACCATAAAACATCATCATGAGGACAGCCTCAGAGCCAAACCCCCGGCCTCTGCAGCTGGACTCTGGATGAAACATCAACAATGGCTAACGTGAACCAAGGAGCCCTAGTAGCACAAACAGTTAAGCATATTCTGCTGCTAAGCCTAAGGTTGGCAGTTGGAATCCACTCAATAGCTCCATGACAGAACGGCCCAGCGATCTGGTTTCATACACATCTCCTAGGCAACCGCAGGGCAGTCCTACTGTCACCTGGGGTCACTAGGAGAAGAGACCAAATTCATGGCACCTAACAATAACAGCACTGCTGGGCCAGTCTCTGGCTTGGGCACTTGGCATATGTGATCTCATCTAAGCCTCACAACAAAGCTGAGAAGCAGGTACTGACAGTATCAGAGAAGGAAATGAACACAAAGATGGAATGACTTAGTCAAGGTCTCACAGTTTGGTAACCCTGTCATTCAAGGCTGACTCTCTTCCTTCAAGTCTGCTGCGTCTGGGAGGTCAGTAGCAGCTTAGGAAGCAGAAGCTGGAGGAAGCTCTCCCAAAGCTCAGGAAATGTGGGAAGGACATTTCTCTTTGGAGGGTCTTCCCTACCCGAAGGATGGGCAGACTGAATGATGATGATCCTAACCCAAAGGTTAAACCCCAGCATTAGGTCGGAATAAAGTGACAAGGCAGTGGGGAGAGGAGGCTACGAACCCGCAATCATGACTTCGATCTCCCCCATGGTAGGGTCCCCCGGGTCTGTGAGGAAGAGGTTCACGTCACCCGCCATACAGCTCTCTTCAGAGGTGTCCGGCTGGGCCTGCCATTTTTCTGCATCCAGCACAATGAAGGTGCACTCTGAGGGGAGAGTGGACAGGTCAGCAGGACACTCCCCAGAGGAGAGAAGTGAAGACTATGTGCCTGCCAAGCCAGGGGCCTCGGAGCTTCCTGGAGCTCATCACAAGCCTCAAAACCGCCTTGTACAGTAAGACATGGCCTTCACCAAACAGTGCCTGTGTTCTAACAGCGGGACCCAGAGGAGCAAAAGTTGTAGCCAGAACCCCAGACCCTTTTGTTCTAAATCCTCCCAGGCCTGGTGTAGGGAGGGGAGGAGGGGAATGTCAGTCCCAGGATTTCTGGCATTTCTCAAGTTTTCCAGGAAGCTTGTGTGGCCGTCAGAGAGCTGGAGATCTCGGAGATCTTGGTCTTAAGAGTGAGGGAGGCAAGGAACCTAGAGACTGCCTAGGGAGACAGCCCTCCCACCACCAGCTCAGCCAGGACTCCTGCTCCTCACTGTCCGAATCCTCCCGCCAGCTGAGTTGCATTTCGTATTCCTGCTCCAGGGTTAGCGGCTCAGAGGCGGTCAGCCGCTGCAGCTCCTCTGATTTCATCCACTCGTGGTACCTGCAGGGGCAGAGAGAAGGCCAAAGGCAGGCAGGGCTGACTCAGAGGCCTGGTCTGGCCCTTTAGAAGATGAAGAATGGATGTTGGTGGAGGGGAGGGGCCCCACAGGGCTAACACCAGAGCAAACCCATTGCTATTAAATTAATTCTAACTCCTAGTGACCCTATGGAGTCTTGGTGTGGTGCTGTAGGATAAGCCGCAAGGTTAGCGGTTCGAACTTACCAGCCACTCCTCAGAAATCCTATACAGGGTCGCTATGAGACAGAAGGGCACCTAACAACAAGTGATCCTGTACCACAGGGTAGAAGTGTCCCATAGGGTTTCACGGAAGCAGAGCAGCTGGTAGATTAAAATCACGCACCTGCTTAAATTAGTAGCTTACCACTTAACCCCTACACCACCAGAGCTCCTTAGCGCAAACACAGGGCTCAGAGAAGACTCAAAGGAAGGGTTAGGGTTGGCGTTAAAGCAGGGGGCCACAGGAACAAGGCCTACAGGAAAACAATGGGACGATGGGAGGGCTCTGTTCTATCTGTTCAGCTTCCCATCCTTACTCAGGGGTCAGTGAGGGAGAGCAGCCTGAAATCCAACATTCCTCAGAATTCCTGAAAAGTCTATGGACTTTTGCTATGGACAGATAGATCCCCACAATGACAGAGCACCAGGAACCCACAAAAGAAAAACTTCAAGTAGATAATATACTCCTAAACACCACCAACCTCCAATCTATCAGACATCTACCAACGCCCCCATCAGAAGCCCATCCTGCATCTCAGTCCATCAGCCCAAAGTTTTAAGACAAGCTAATGTAATCTGTGTTGGAAACAGTACAACCAGAATGCTCCTTAGAAGTCAGGATGGCCAGACTTCGTCTCTCATGCTTCGGACATGTTATCAGGAGGGACCAGTCCCTGGAGAAGGATATCATACTTGGTAAAGTGGAGGGGGGGAGAAAAAGAGGAAGACACTCCCTCTCCCCCCCCCAAAAAAAAGATGGATTGGCACAGTGGCAGCTGCAATGGGCTCAAACAGCAATGATTGTGAGGTTGGCGCAGGACAGGGCAATGTTTTGTTCTGTTGAGCATAGGGTCGCTATGAGTTGGTGCTGATTCCATGGCACTAACAACAACAACATTAAGTTCAAGTCCCTGGGTGGGGTGGAGTTAACGTGCTCTGCTGCTAGCTGAAAGGGTGGAGGTTCGAGTCCACTGAGAGGTGCTTTGGAAGAAAGGTTTATGTCTAATAAAAGGAGCCGCTGAAAATCCAATGGAGCACAGTCGTATTCTGACATGAATTGTCTTGGGTTTTCCTGAGTCAGAGTCAACTCAATGGTGACTATTGCGGTTTTGTTTGCCGGGAGCTCGAAGACTCTGGGACCAGAGCATTTTCTCTGGCACCAGGAACGTCACTCACAATTAGGTGAGATGACAATTTTGTTTTACTCTTTACGCATTTGTTGAGTGGCGTCAAGTTGGTTCCAATTCCTAGTGACCTTGTATGGGTTTCTGAAGAGCAGGTGGTTGGGTTTGAACCACTAACCTTGTGGTTAGCCAAGTCAGTGCTTATCCTAGAGTGCCACACTAGGACTCCTACATACATTTACTGTTCTATCAAATGTCTTGCTGAAAGGCCAAAAAGGAAGCGAAGAGGGTGAAAGGAAAAACAGAGCTGGGCAACTTTTTCCAGGGAAGTCGTATTCCTCTGCCCCAGCTTTCACTTTTCCTGTCTGGTTACTTCTTAGAACCCAACTTTCTCCTTCTCAGGGGTAAACAGCCTTTGAGATTTGGTCATCGGAAGGCGGACCCTCCTTGACAAGCCTGGAAGGACTCCTTGACAAGCCTGGAAGGACAGCCCTGAGTGGGACGCAACTGTGCCATCTCAGGCAGGAACCATTACCTGGGCACATGCTCTGAGGTGTAGGGCACCAGCACCACCTTCTTCCCCAACAGCAAGGTATTGGCATTCAACCTCATGGTTAGCAGCCTGCAGAAGGGGAGGCAGACTTCAGGACTGGGAGTGTCCCCCCACCCTGTCCCATTTAGGGTGGGAGTCAGGGTTCTCGACTCCTTAAACCCTTGCCTAGAAACAGAGCCCTGGTAGTACAATGGTTAATCGCTTGATTGAGAACCCAAACATCAACGGTTCGAACCCACCAGCCACTCAGAAGGAGAAAAGACCAACCGATCTGTACTCCCTTAAAGATGGGGGTTGTTAAGGGCCCTCAAGTCAGTTTTGACTCACAGCGACCCGGCACAGGGTGTCCGAGAAGTGGATGGGCTTGAGCTTCCGAACTTGTGGTTAATAGTCCAGTGATTACTTATAGCTCCACAGCCTAGGAAACCCTATGAAATCCCTCAACTCTGTCCCCAGGGACAGTATGAGTCGGAATCCCCTCGATTATACAAAAGAATCTCTTGCTATCCCTCCAAACACATCTGAGAACATAAACTCTAAACTCCCAGTAAAGGGAAGTGGGCTAGCTGGAGATAATTAAGCAGTCCTTAACTCGCATACCAAAGAATTTTCCACCCCATTTTTCAGGGCCGGCATCACTTGCCTCAAGCAAAGGCTCCACCCCTAACTTCAACTTTCAGCCCTACCTTCAGTCTATTTACAAGTCCTCTTCTTCCCTGCAAACACTGAATGCACACGCGACCACCCTTCCTCTTTCCCGCCCCGCAAACCCTCCCCTTTGCGTAGAGCTATAGGATGCTCTTCTAGATCCTCCAACGACAGGTGCCTATCACTGACAAGTTTACTCCCACTCCCCACCGACACGTCCCCAGCAGCAGGGATGCGCGAAGCAGCTTCCCGACCCGGCATCTACCCCTCCCAAATGCACAAGGAAATCCACGCCCATACTTCCGCCACGCAGACGGGAGCCGCCAGGGTTCAATACCGGTCCCGCCTCTGCGTGGCGCCCAATCAGGGCGTTTCGTCCCGCCCTAAACGCGCACGGAAAAGGTGGGCTCCCAGAGCTGGTACATGCGCGCTGCAGGCGCTGGTGCGGGACAGCTGGCGCCGGTAGCAAGCTAGGGGCCGGAGGCACCGGCGGCCGCCCGGAACGAGCTGCGCTGCAGGTGTCGGGTCGGGCAGGTGTGGAGGGGCGGTCCCAGACTCGGGGCTCCTCCAGGAAGGGGAGCGGGGCTCCTGAAACGATAATGAGACTTGGGCATGGGGGGACCCTAGGTAGCTCAGAAGGCTGGGTGGGGGGCGACAAGTGGAGGCCCCGTTCAAAAGGAGAGGCTTTGTGACAAGGTGTTGAGTTGGAGGAGCAATTTAGGAAAGGCACCCGCTTTGGGGCTACTTGGGCTGCCCCTCGGGTTCTGGATTCAAGTGGGAAAACACCTCGTCTCTGAATGCACACAGTGCACGACAAGGAGAAAATGAAAAGAAACTGATTTCAGTCCGGGCATCTTCTGCCAGATAATGGGGACTGTGACTGTTGGTAATAAAGAGGCCTGCGGTGGTGAGGAGTCTGCACACTCTGTTATTCCGCCTCCCCTCCCCCAGGTTCAACACCAAGATGAAGTCTACTCTTTTGTCTTAGGAGGTGGCGGCAGCCTCATCTCTGCACAGAAGGAACCGTGGCTGCGGGACCCTTCCTCACTTCTGAAAATGACGGGTGAAATCACAGAAACCGGGGAGCTTTATTCGCCCTACGTGAGTTTTATCTTCCACCCAGGGCTTCTGTCTGCTAGAGAAGTTTCCGTGCCTCTCCGGGCTGAGTCCTTACGGTGGGAGGGAAGTGGCTGGACAGTACTGATGGGAAGCTCAGGATGTGTTGTAAGAGCCTTGGGTTTGTTCGTTTCTGAGATGTTTATCAGCTAGTGCCCTAAGGGGCAGCAGTCTGCTCTGGCTGCTTTGGGCTCTTTTTAGATCCTATGAATGTGCACCTGCTCATTCCCAAGAGAAAGCCTCTCTTAACTTTCCATTGCTCTGTTGTGTATTCTTCCACCCTCTTCAGGGATGCCAGTGATGTTAGGGATGCGTGCTTTATTTTGCACAAAATTGACCTGCTAGGTCTTTAAAGTATATATCGCAGGGCAGCTGAGAGCCAGTGTGCTGTCTGTCTCACGTGGATGGAGATCAACAGCTGTTGAGCCTGGATTTTGCTGCCTCAGCAATTTGAGACTTCTTTGGTCTTTCCCTGCGCTGTAGATTACACAACTTTTATAGTCTAGGCTGGCACAAGAGGCATGCAGACTTCCACTTAGAGTCTGGTGGAGTGTGCAATTAGAACAAATTAGAATGCTTGATTTCTCACTGTCTTGGGTCTGTATTGTACCCCCCCACACACACACAGTTTATCTTCCCTGGGTAATAGAACATTACTCACGGTTCTATCACCCGGGCCCCTTTCCCATACCAGTAGCTGGAAGATTGTATAATCACATGATTGATTCCTGCTACTTACCAGTGTCACAGAGACAAGCAGACTGCTGTAAAAATAAGAATCCTCTAACTGAGCCTTAAAAATTATTGTGTCAACTCCAACTTACAGTGACCCTGTGTGTCAGAGTAGAACAGAGCTTGGCTGATTTTTCTGCAGTAGATCACCAGGCCTTTCTTCTGAGGTCCCTCTGGGTGGATTCAAACCTCCAACTTTTTGGTTTGCAGCCAAGTGCATTCACTGAACCATCCAGGGGCTCTCTTCTGAAACTTGCTGAGCCTTAAAAAGTTGTCCTACCCAGGACCTCCCTTCGTAGCAGGGGATCCTTGCTCTGTGCTGATGTCCCAGACTCTAGAGCTGGTCATGGATGAGGAATCACATCTGAAAATAAGACTGGAAAAAAGCCTTCACTGGAGGGTGTGCTGTGGAGTCTGGGTCATTGGGTGCAAGGAGCTTCCTTCCTTGTAATTCATCAGAAGTCTTTCCTGACCCTTGGAATGCAAAGAGTAGCATCGCTCTCCTCTGTGGGGTTGGGTAAGCCTCCTCTCGGTGTCAGCAGCGGAATGTCTACATGGTGTGTCCAGTCACTGTACTTCCTGCTTTTTCTGATAACGTCTGTAAACGGAGAGAGAAGGCAATATGTCATTGCTATTACTGAGTTTGGGGAAATACAAAACTGATGTGCCCAAACGTCTTATGCCTCTCATGTTGGAGCCATTGTGGGCCCACGAGAAATAGAGCAGTTAGGCCTGAAAGCTTCCACACCCTCTGCTTTTTTATATTCACCTCCATTTCGTTTCGTGGCTCCTGTGTTAAGGGCGTATGCTGTCTTAGCCTTCTAGTGAGGAGAGAGGCAGGGAAAGTGAGTAGTTTGGGGATGAGGTGGCACAAGTCAGGAGAGAGTGTCAGGGACCGCAGGACAGAAGATGCCTTCTTTCTAAGATTTTCGTAAGTCTGCCCTCCCCTGGAGAAGGAGCCCTGTTGGTTCAGTGACTAAAGTACTCGCTTGCCAACCAAAGGTTGTTGGTTCAAACCCACCAACTATTCTTCGGAAACCCTCTACAAGGTCACTATGAGTCAGAACTGACTCAACAGTACTTAATGACAACATCAATCTTTACAGAGGCAGATGGCCACATCTTTCTCCTGTGGAGCAGCTGGTGGATTCCAGCCACCAGCCTTTCAGTTAGCAGTTTAGGGCTTAACCACTGCGCCACCAGAGCTCTTCCAGCATAGGTATTCCCACTGAGACTGGGGCGGGGCTGTGTTCTGCTTTGTGTCACCATACTGCCAGGAGGCTGTTCCCACAGAACTGCCATGTAGCGAGCAGAAGAACATGTGTGCTTCCTCTTCCTCCTTCCCCAAAGCTCCCTCTGTCCAGCCTGGGCTCCGTTCTTCCTGACATCCCCAACACCACGTGTCTGCTCCTTGTGACCAGTCCTTACTAAACACCGAGAGGACTGAACTCCTGCCCGACCAGTGAAAGCCCTGGGAGGGGCAAGAGCCCCTGCAGGTCCCTGAACCCCACTGGAACTACCTGCTAGCAACAAAGCAGGACAACTGCGATCACCCAGCCCAGCTGCCACTGCCAGCCGCTTCTCCCACATGGATGTCTTTGTAAAGTTTCTAAAGGTTCCATTGTCTTTGCGCAGATGCCTTTGAAGTTGGTTTCGGAGTGGTTCTTTTGCCACATCTCTCCATCTGTGCTTCTCTAAGGGTAGGGGTTGGGGAAGCAGCTGTACCTTTTTCCTCCTTGGAGACATTGGCAGTGTCTGGGGGTTGGAGATGCTGCTGGCCTCTAATAGGTACAGGCCAGGGATACTGCTAAGCCTCCTGCAATGCAAAGACAACACCCCACTCCTCACAGAGAATGAGCTGGCCTCAAACATCAGTAGTGGAGAGACTGAGAAGCCCGGGGTCCACGGCAGACCCTTCACTTTCACATCCCGAGACCCTGAGGCATCCCTGAATGTATAGATGCCTCCTCTTCTGTTTAACTTCCCCACAACCTGTGTGGCTCAGAGCCATCGCTTTTGAAGGCCTCTCTTCACCCTCTCTTCACTTTCGTCCCCAGAACCATCACCAGGGCTGTTTTCCTTAAAGAAACCATCCCTACGGAAATACTGCTGCTTATAAACAACAATCCACTGACACTGAGTGGATTCCGACTGGTAGTGAGCCTATAGGACCAAGTCGAGCTCTGCCCTGGGGCTTTTAGGAGTGTACATTTTTATAGGAACTGACAGTCTTATCTTCTTAGGAGTGGCTGGTAGGTTTGAACCGTCGACCTTTCAGTTTGCAGTCCAATGCTTAACCCACTGCAGTGATTAACAATAAGCAGAGGACAGAGCTGAAGGGAATTAGGATGTTAGACCATCTGTAGAATCTGTTGTGTTAATGCTCTGTTTTCAACTCTGTGGGATCCTGAAGCCCATGGGTGATCTGCCCCCAGTTGGTTTCCCAGCCTCCACCAGTTCCTGTAACTCTCCAGTGAAACTCTGCAGGTTTCTGGAACATTCCAGCCTCTGTCCCACTGTAGGGCTTTGTGCCTCGCTCCTTGTCATCCTCCAGGACTTCCTACTGCCGTTCAGCCATGAGGCCTGTCCCAAGTCTCCATGATTCCAAGGGCTTCCCTATCCTTCTTGCTCCCTGTACCCCGCTTTTCCTCACTCTGCTTGTCTGAAGCAGGAGTCATCTTTGTCTTTTCCACCTAGACTGTTGCTCTGTGGGGTCAAGGTGCAATTCCGTCCTGCTCACTCTTGTATCCCTGGCCCAGCCGGCTAGCAGTCATTGTGGTTGACAACGTGAGTGACCGAGCCGCCTGCTGAACTAGCTAGATGACCTGCTCCTGCTCTTGTACACAGGCGTCTCCACGTTCCAGTGGTGGAAATAAACTGCAGCTGGAGTCACAAAGTAATAAATTCCCAGTGTGGCACTGCAGGTTAATGTGCTGGACTGCAAGGTTGGAGGCTCAAGTTCACCAGCTGCTCCCCAAACCCTATATAGGGTCGCTATGAATCTGTACCAAGTCCATGGCACTTAACAAAGTGACAGTGGATTTGGAAAAGACATTCACAATCACTTGTGAAATGCTAGAGCTGGCTATGTAGGCAGACCTCAGGAGGTCTCACAAGTTCGGTTCTAGACCGTCACATGCATTTTTTTGGTTTCCCAGCGTGTATAAACATAATGTTGACACTATACAAGTCCTGGTGTGGCGTTGTAGGATCAGCACTGGACTGGTAACCATAAGGTTGGTGGTTCAAACTCAGGAGCAGCTCCTCGGAAAACTGTATACACAGGGTCGCTGTGAGTTGGAACTGACTTGAAGGCACTTAACAACAACAACAATATAGGCTGTGAAATGTGGAAAAGGCATGATGAAAAAGCTTGAAATGTTGAGAGAATGACCAAAACGTGACACAGAGACACACAGTGCAAACACACTGTAGGAAAAAATGTCCCTGAAAGACTTGCTTGACTCGGGCTTGCCACAGTCTTCCATTTGTAAAAATAACTATCCCAGGAGTCCTGGCGTTGTAGTTTTATCATCCAAACAAGTGATCAAGGGACCTGATTCAAGCCTGTTTCAATGCTTGTGGGATTTGTCTGGAAGAAAACAGTGTAATGTTTAAACAGTGGAGGAAGAAGGCCAGATGTGGGTCAGAAAGTGTCCGGCAGGCTCCTGTCTGCAGGGAGGCTCAGGCCGGGGTCACCCAGAGCCCTGATTTAGTCCTGGGGGAGAGGAATACAACAGCAGCATCTGAAACTCAGGCCAGCCTGTGCCCTGGAAAGTCTTGTAGCCTCTGGACTTGTGGAGAATTTGGAAAACCAGGATGGGCTTCATTGCGGGAGTTGCACCTAATGGGCTTTGGAGGCTGGGGAGGAGTTGGCACTCTGCTCTAATCAGAATGTGGACAGACCTTTCTCCCCGCTGGACAGGATGTCTCACATCTGCTGGGAACCTGTCTGTCTCTGCCCACTGCCCATTCCTTCCTTCCTTCCCCAGCCAAGGGCCCCCACATAGTAGCTGATAGTCCCTACCCCTATTTCTTCATGCTCTGTGGGAAGATTGAGTTTGGGAGAAGGGGTTCCAATTTGTGTGTTTCATCACAAATTCAGCACATAGTTATCTTGGGAAAGTTTCTAAAATAGAAAAAAATGCATCTCTTGAAGAATGGGGAGATGAGCGTGAGAGATGGGTGGGTGTTCCCAGAGCTGAGGTGGGTTTTGTTGTTTTTATGCTCAGAAGCAGATGGTAAAGCAGACT